AAGCTTCAAACCCCATTTTTGCAAAGGAAAATCTTGTTCAGAATGACTGTTCCAACCGGTCACATTTGTGTAGCTATGTTTGTTCCAACCGTTGGAACACGGTACGTGAGAATTCTGCTTGGAGAGTTTATGATAGGTCCGCGACAAAGGCTATTTTTGAGAAAGACTTTTTCCTTACTTCCTGCAATACTCATTTACCTTTTTTCGTACAATACCGTTAAATTTTTAGTTTCGTTTCGTCCTCGATAGCCAATTCTCGTCATAAATTCGGTAATTCTAAAGGGTCATTTCGATGGTACATTCGTTACGGTACTTTACGGTCATCGGGCCTGAGACCCAGAGGAAAACCCCCGGCGTTGCCGGACTTGCAGATTTCTCACGTACGCTCTGGTACCGTCCCACCCTCCTAAAGAAACGCGCTAAGGGCGTAACGGAAGGGTGGGAGAAAGTCAAGGGACACGTTGATTGGAAAATCAAAAATCGAATGATGACCAATCAGCGTGTTTCCAAAACTTTCGCCAGGGCTCCTTAGCTCGCACGATCGAGAGCTAAGGACAGAACGCATCGTACGACAGAACCTATCTATCATTCGAACCGAACATATCTCACATTCGTACAGAACATCTCGCACATTCGTACAGAACATCTCGCACATTCGAAGAGAACATAACTTTCGATAAGTCAACGTTACGGACTTAACCATTTTCCGGAGTCAATCGCTCGGACTCACTTTGAATCACTGCTCGAAAGTTAATTCCGCAGAGCAGCGCGTCGCGAAGGATCGTAGCCAAACGAGTCACGAGATTTACGACCTCGTGGCACGGAGTTAAAAAATCCGTGCGATCAGTTCGCGACGCGAGTAACTTCGTACGAGCGGTTACAATGACGTCCTCTACTACCCCTTTTAGGGAGTAACACTAGTTACGGGACACCCTGTATATTACAAAAATCAGACTTTAATATATCATTATTCTATCTTCAGAAAATTATTCATAATTTTCAGGTAGAGGGGACAAAGAATTTGTTATTTTAATGTGTTTTATTTCAATTCTTTTGTAAGATGTATCTAAATGTGCTGTAAATACCATTTTTTTGTTAAATATTTCATTTGAAATTGTGTGAGAGCATATTAAATTAATTATTATTTTATAAGAAAAGTACCTTTCGATGGAAGTCAAAAAAGGTATTAGTGTATTATATTTAACAAATATCTATTTAAGAAGAATATCCGTTGAGTCATTTCAACTGAATATTGTGATCTGTTAGCTATTTCTACTTATAAACAAAATTGACAAAATCATAATAACAATAAGATCAAAATTACTGTCTCACTTGTAGTTCATATGTAATTAACAAATTTTTTATCGTTATTTAAATATGAGAAAGCAAAAATCTCATTTTTTTGGCTCATATAATTGGAATGTTACTCATCTATTATATTTTTTGAACTGTTCTATTGTGCTCTAACTTCTTTTCTCAACAAGTCAAACAACCATTGATGGAATTCAAAATGAATGAAACTAAATCTGTTATTTTTAAATCTTTAGTACCTTAACACAGTAATAACTGCCCTTTGAGATTGAAACATTTTAAATATTAGCAAGCTATGGAAGCAGATGGTAACAGTATTATACACAATATTGATTATAAGCTTGTAACACACAAACGATTGATTTTTAGCTTTTTCAATTTACGTTTAAAACACAAAGATACAAGACTCAATTTATGTTTAAAACACAAAAATACAAGATAATAAAATTCCAAAATAAATATTATTTTCATACCACGACATATATATAATGCCCTTGTTATCAGTACACTTTAATTATTCTTCAATATAATTGAATTCATTCTTCTCAAAAAAATTGTTTATACTTAATTCTTTTGTTAAAATACATATATTATCTTTTCTTTTGAAAATCTGTGTTATGGAATTAAACAATGATTTCTACTGGGTTTCTTTTGGTTTGCTGAGACTATAGCTTAAGTTTTTTTGTAGCTGTTGTATGGATTTCGAATGTTGAGACACTTACCAATAGTAAACTTACTAATAATAATTTCTTCAGAAAACCTCGATAATTTTGGGTCACTATGTAATAGATTCTTCAAATTAGTAGAGGTACAGAGATTTAATGTGTGGCGCTACATCTAATATGATTCGACAGAGTTATTTGCTAAGAATCAGTCAAGTTTTAACTTATTTCCAATATTCTCACTTTCATCATCCTCTGTTATGTCTTCTTTTTTTATTGGACTTTCCATAATGTAATTTTGAAAATAGGTATTGTTTTTATTAGCTCCAAATATTTAGTTTTCATGAAGTCGTTTTTATTATCAATAACAGTTGCAAATAATTGAATTAATGTGATTTACCAGTTCAGCAATTTGATGTGAATGTTTTTAAACTTTTCAGTAATTAGATATAGTAAAATTATGTCAAAAAAGCTATATTTTCACATGACAAGCATAAAGTTTGTCTATTTTATGTCCACATTGATATAAAATTAATAACTCATATTTAACATACGGATTTTTAATAACTGTTAATGGAACCAAGAAGTGTATTACAAATTTTAATATTTTATTAGTTACTTTCTTTTTATTTACTTATACTTCTATGGTCTGCAATAGTTTGACCATGCCACAATTCTTCACTTGATATAAAATTGGATCTTCTGTTTATGCAGAAGGCTGTGATATTCAGATTATTATTAAAATACCACTACCACTTCTGTCAACTATTTTTAAAAATTTACTAATCATAATACAGGAAAAATCATTATTATTCTAAGAATCAATATCAATCTGTTTCACTGAAGAAGATTCTCATATTTTATTTAAATTTGAAGACAAATATCTAAAGCTATCACGAGTATTATCACTTTTGATTATCATAATCACTATTGATGATTATCATAATCACTACTGAATTAATATTAAACAACTATACCAAACCTGATACTAGATTATTATAACATAAGGACTTCTTGTTAAATATTTACACTATCCTATCGCAAAGACGCTTGTTCATGATCGCGTTCAGCCGTGCAGTTCGAAGCTATCGCTCTCACTTCTGGGTGCGCGTAATCCTCGTGCTCTGATTGGACCGTATTTTTCTATAATATTTCAGAAACGAAGCTTCAAACCCTATTTTTGCAAAGGGAAATCTTATTCAGAATCGCGTCCTCTACCACCCCTTTCTGGGAGTTACACGAGTTGTGAGGCACTCTGTATATATTCTGTAAAGGCGATTCCGAGAGTGAAGTAATGTCTATGGATGTTCTCTAAAGAATGTCCTCTTCCCGTTCCGCGAAGTTTCCTAGTCCCCCGCGAAACTTGGGCCTCGGGGTTGTTTTATCCAGAACGTCACAGCGTCGGGCCAGGTTGTCGTGGTGGTCATCGTTAGACGGCCATGTGTATCGCGTCCTTGATTTATTGGGGTGCGTCATTGCCAACACTCGTCCAGCCTGCAAATGTGCTTGTTCTCAAGCGTGCTTTTTCCAAGCACGTGGTTAAGTGGGTCTTTGTAACATAAGATTCGGCATTTGCCTGTGTACGCAGTTGAATATTGAAAACGTCCATTCTATCACGTCCTCGATGAAGAACGTGTTTTTTAAAAAGAAATGATTTGCCGTTGATAACGCTTAAATGGCAAGTACCACTTTTTATTTATTCACTATTATTACAAATATTGGGAATAACACTCCTAAACACAAATACTTAACTACCGCTGGTCAGCAAACAATCGGTGAAAAGTTTGCTTCGCGTATATCTATTAGTAGTCGCGCCACTGCGCGATGGCTCTATATGTAGTATTGGATCGGAGGGATGATCGAATTAAAAATGGCTTGGCTTCTAAGAAATATCGAATTTAATATAATGAACAAGGAATTAAGAAGAATTGCGTAATAGGTCTTTACAAGGACGCGTCCGAAATGTTCTGTCCTTGTCATCGATCGCTTTTTGACCATGCATACTTCTTTTGTCGTTTTCACGCATTCTTTGCACACGCACACGTACCCACCCGTATTCGTCTGTACTCTCTCTCTCTCTTACATACTTTCACTTATACTCTCTTGCACGCTCTCACTTGCACGTTCACCTTGCTCGCATTCCCTCATCTGGGGGTTCGTCCAGGGTCTTTGGTCTCCGAAGACGTATCAGCTGTTTCGACGTCGCATCTATACGGTTTCATATAATCGGCGGATGTACTTATTATTGCTGGGCCTTTGCTATCACTTATACGCGCTACTTCATAACGATTATTTCTTTTTACTTTTGTTATCGAATACGGTCTTAAATATTTTTGCTTAATTTTTAATGTCGGGCCGAATTGAGTTCGCTTTATAAATACTATGTCGCCTTCTGCATATTGTTTCGCCGGTTTACATTTTTTATCATATTGTCACCTGTTTTCATCTTTTATTTTTATTAAGTTTTCCTTTGCTATCGCTTTTAGTTTATCGCGGTTTTCGTCGTACAATTGGGTTGTTTCTTATTCGATAAGGGTGATAATCTCGTGATCTTGTTTATTCTTGATTTTTGTACTGAAAAGAATCTCAAACGGTGTCGTGCCTATTGCTCTCTGAAATGTACTGTTAATACATTTCTGAACTTTGTTTACGTGTTTATACCATTGGTCGGGGTTATTAATAGATAGTTTAGTTAATACCGGAATAATAGTGCGTATTGTACGTTCTGATTGCCCGTTCCCTCGCGGTACGCCTGTCATGATGTGTATGTTTTTTATACCCTCTTCCTCTTCCTTGCAATTTTGTTAAAATTCTGTGAATATAAACGCGGCTTCTCTATCGGAAATTATGCGATCTGGGTTCCCGAAAATTGGTTATTGACTATTTAACTTGTCAATTACTTCTTTGGCGTTAACTGTTTTCGTCAGATATAGCCCTGTAAATTTTAAAAATCCGTCTACGATTATGAAAATGTAACGGTACGCTTTGCTCGTCGCTGTCATTGGTCCTACGTGGTCGATGTGATACGTTTCAAGTGGTTTTGACCCTTTCGCGATCGGTGTTAGTTCACCCTCCCTTTTCCCTGTCTTTCTTTCGGCTACTATGCATTGTATACAGCAGCTAATAAATTTCTTTATTTTTTCTTCTAACGCCGGTACGTAATATTCTGTCTCGATAATTTCTTCCATTTTACGTCCGTTGAAATGACTCTTTTCATATGCGTTTCTTATTATTTCTAGGTGCATGCACAACGGTACGACAATCAAATTTGTATTATCTTTATGTTTCAGTAAAATATCGTTTTGTACAAAATACATCTCATATTCTTCGGTTTCTAGGATACGCTTGATTACTTGCAATCTCTCTTCTTCGCTTTGCTTTTTTCTAATTATCGCTAACATCGTGTTTTCTATAACTAATTGTAAGATCGGAAATCTACTTAGTGCGTCTACGTGTTTAACCCGCGTGCCTTTTCTATGTTTGACAGTGTATTTGAATTCTTCTATGGTCAAAGCTCATCGTGCTACTTTAGGAGAAAGATCTGTTTTTGACGACGTTTTCTTAAACGCTTCGCAATCCGTAATTAATTGAAATGGTACGGTTAACAAATAAACGCGGAATTGTCTTACTGTATTTATTACGGCTAATATTTCTAATTAGCGCGAGTGGTATTTTCGCTTGGCGTCAGTGGTTTGGTTACTGTAGTAATACACGGGGTGGAACGCGTTTTCTTTTGTTGTCTTTTGAAATAAAATCGCGCCGAAACCTTCTTGACTCGCGTAGGTATGTAACTCCGTTTCTGCGTTCGGATCGTAAATTTGTAATACGGGTTTTGCTGACAAAATTGACTTTAACGCTAAAAATGCTTTTCTTTGTCCTTCCCAAATGAATTTTTTATTTTCTCTCGTTAATTTAAGAAAAGGGATATTTTTGGACTGCTTTGGTTTTCACGTTGCCTGGATATACATTTCCGTTTTCAATTTCATGGTCTAAATATTCTATCCTCGAACGAAGAAATTGACATTTGCTCCAGCTGATCGTTGACCCGTTTTCGGCTGCTATCTTTAATGTTTCAACTTATTTTTCGTACGCGTCTTCGTCGTTCGATCCCGGTATGATTATATCGTCGACATAAGCGAAAATCACTTTGCGTCGGATGAGGTCTTGAAGAACTATGTTAATAAATCGTAAAAAATTTGTGGCGCTAATCGAAAGTCCGAAAGGTGTTTTTAAACATTCGTATTGCGCGTCTGGCGTTACGAACGCGGTGTATTTGATGCTTTTTTTCGCGACTGGTACACGCAAATTGCCGTTTTTCAAGTCGATTACTGAGAATGCGCGCGAGTTATGTGACCACCTGCAGTCCGGCCTTATCGCCACCGGCGGGATGAGGCCCCGCCATAGGCGAAACAAAAGATAAGAGCCGTGGGTACCATCGTCTCGGCGACGAGGCACTGATTTATTCTTAATTAAGCCTGTGGCCTGTACGAACGGAAAAAAATTAAAAGAAACGTGTTTACTTCAAAGTATTGTGCATTTATTTTAAAAACCATTTGACCATCCAGTAACATAACTCGCGCGTCTTTTAATTCGTCTATTTTCTCTTCGACGAGGGACGTTGGGAAGTAATCCCGTTTTATCTTCCTATTTAATTTTCGATAGTCGATGCATACTCTATAGGAGCCGTTTTTCTTTGGAACGATGACTACTGGACTCGCTTACTCGCTTTTGATTGGACGAATAACCCCTTTCTTAAGCCATTCGTCGATTTGTCTATTTAATACGTTTTTTTTCTTTTGGCACTAGTCGCCGTGATCTTATATTAACTTGATCGCTATTATTTAATACAATCGTTCTATCTACCTGTATGTCGCTCTTTTCTAGTGGTTGATACTCACTAATTAATTTCTCGATTCTGTCCTTGTATTGTTCTTGAACGTCTAATTGATCTGTTTTAACGTACATTGTTTTTTAATTCTTCAAACGCTGCGTCCACCGTTTCCTGGGTGTTCTCCGCTTCCGTCTGCCTATCTTTCCTCTCTGGAAATCGTGAGCGGTGTCTCCTCTGCGGTTCTCGGGGCCCTATGGATTGCGACTATGTTACCTTCGTTCACTTGCATCTCGGCACCTTCCAAAAACTCTTGTCCCAAGATTATGTCGTGTGGGATCGTGTGTGACAGCACTACAAAAAATTTAACACCATATTTAACATATAGTGTATTTAACATATATTTAACACTGTATGTTCGTCATCGTCACCGACAAAGGGGAACCGTCGATATCCTTGTATCGATTTTTTCGCATTAACGAAATGACTTTTCACATTGTTTACTTCTATTAGAAATGTTGTTTTCGCACTTACGACATAATTTACACTTGCAGTCTTACTGTTTTTCTCGTTTCTTACACTATTACTGTATCGCCGAAATCTTTTCAACATGGAGCAATTTCGTTTTGTAACGTGGCCGTTTCCTCCACTCGCGTTGCTAGGCAGCGCGGTGGAGTACGCGGCTCACGGGCCCCCTTGTGCCGGACGCTTCAGCGCGCCAGGGTCGACGCGAGGGGGCCGATCGCGGAAGGAAGGGGACTGGTCGCGGGTAAAAGAGAACACGGAGTTTACCGACTAACTATTCTTTATTAAAATTATTATTCGGGTCCGCCGGGGGCGCAGGTGGAGTCGCCTGTGTGGCGACCCCACATTCAACCCGCAAGAAGCGAGTACGCTTCTCAGACTTCGCGTAATCTATGGTGTGCGACACTAGCGCCACACAGCGTTAGCGTCCTAGCGCGCGTATGCGTCTTTCAGTTGATTGTAAGAAAGCTAAAGAAAAAGACCGTGTGCGACACTAGCGCCACACAGCATTAGCGTCCTAGCGCGCGTATGCGTCTTTCAGTTGATTGTAAGAAAGCTAAAGAAAGAGACCTCTGTGATATTGTTGAAAATATATATATACCTCTTGTTAAAAGAAGCGTCTAATTAATTCCCCACGTAGAGTACCTACAATTGGTGACCCCGATAACAGAAAGTGCGTACCAAAAAAGAGAAAAAAATGCCAATAGAGCGTTCACCGCCGAAATTAGACGCAGACGTCGCGGTACCGATTCTATCGGAAAGCGACGCACATAAAATGGCGTCCCACGCTTCGAGTTCGCACGTGGTCAGGGAATTAGCAGTGGAGGCGAATGAATTCCTCAACCTTAGAATGTCCACCTTCTGGACAGAAGCACCCAAATTGTGGTTTCGACAATTAGAAGGGGAATTTCAACTACATCGAATCCGTTCCGAGGATATTAAATATAGCGCAGTGCTGCGGCATTTGGACCAGCAGACAATGAAGATGGTGGCGGATGTTATTGAACCCCCGCCCGAAAAAGATAAGTACAATACACTTAAAAACGCACTCATAAACAGATTTACGGATTCAGAGGAGCGCCAGCTACGGAAGTTGTTAACAGGAATAGAACTCGGAGCTAAAAAACCCTCCGAGCTTCTCAGAGAAATGAGAATGTTGGCTGGAAGCGGAGTAGCAGAGAGGCTCTTACAAACTTTATGGCTACAAAGACTACCACAGCGGGTGCAGGAGCTTCTGTCGG